AAATTTTCGCTTCCAAATAAGATTGGACTAGGTGGATTTGGTAGGGTTTATAAGGTGAGGTTTGCTTTTCCTTGCTTAGCTAGGAAATTAAGATGGTTATTTGAATTTCAATCTTTCTGCTAATGCTATTATATCGGTATAGAGTCTATTATCTACAGGACAGAAAGTAGCTGTTAAAAGGTTTTCATCAAATTCCTACCAATCCTTCGATGTTCTTAAAAATGAGGTTCTTTTGCATTCCAAACTTCAGCATCCAAACCTTATTAAAGTACTTGGATATTGCATTCATGGAGAAGAAAGGATACTTGTATATGAGCTCATGGAGAACGAATCTCTAGATGCTTGCCTATTTGGTTAGATTCCAGTCCTCTAATTTTTCTAAGACTACACTTCAGATTCTGGAATATAATTTTCTTACTTCTGCATTCATTAAATACTGATAAACATATATGAGCTAATTAACTTGAAATGAGACAGGTGAAACGAGACATGAACTTGGATGGAACATACGCTTCAAAATCATTACTGGTATTGCTCGTGGCATTCTTCATCTTCAGCAGGATCCAGGATTGAGAATTAATCACGTATATATCAAAGCAAGTAATATTTTACTTGACAGAGAGATGAACCCTAAACTTTCAGATTTTTATTCATGTAGAACTTTAGAAGAACTTCAAACTGAAACTTTCTCAAGGAGTGCTGGGACATTGTAAGTATCAAGACAACCAAGTGTGCTTTTAACTCTACCTCTGTCTAAAGTAACATACTAATTTCTGTAATTTGTCTAATATTGGTATACAGTGGGTATATGTCTCCAGAATATGCCAAGCACCGTATATTCTCACTTAAGTCAGACGTGTTCAGTTTCGGAGTTCTTGTCCTAGAGATTGTGAGTGGAAGAAGAAGATATGATGATGATGGTTTTCTTGACCTTATTGAGTGTGTAAGTAACTAACTTAAAGATTATCCTCGTAATACTTGATGTCACCAAATTGACACTATGAAATAAGTCGTTTATATTTGGTACATGTTCAGGCCTGGACGACGTGGAACAAAGGAAAAGCATTAGAATTTTTAGATAAATCAATGAAGGGTGAGTTTCCAGCAGATGAAGCATTAAGATGTATCCAAATTGGACTTTTATGTGTCCAAGAACAACCAGGTGATCGACCAACAATGCAATCAGTGCTTGAGATGTTGGAAGGAGAAGTTCCGTCATTGCCACTACCGTTACCACCTCCATATGTTGAAAATGAAACATATCCTAGTTTGAAGACGAGCACTCACATCGACTCCACCAATGAGGTAACTATTACAGAGTTAGTGTGTCGATAGAAAGCATGTTTGCAAGACCGCAACCTTTTTGGTTCAATTTGAAGGTGTCTTTCATATGATTGCCAACAAATAAACAACATTAACCTTATGAAGCTGTTTTATATTTGTATGCTACGCACAAACCATATAGTAGTTTTATGCGTGTATTCATATAAACACATTGGTAATAGTTCTCAATCGTATTCTTTCTCTGGGTTTGAACAGTTGTGTTGTAATGACATTCGAATCCTGCATTTGAAGATAAGACTATTTATCTCTTACTTGTTAAATTGTTTTTTATTAGGCAATTTTCATCTGATAGACATCTTGAGTTCACTTGTAACAAATGTTAAACTTGCATTTAAATTTGAGTATGAATGAAAATTAAGGATTATCATGTAATCTAAATCTCCATCACAGTGGNNGTAATCTAAATCTCCATCACAGTGGAAAAATGACACATTTTTGCAACAACAAAAAATAAAAAAATGACTGACCATCTAATTTTTACACACATTTTTAGCATTGTAGAAAAACAAGAGAATATTTTGAGAGGAAAAAAAACTTTATTATACAGCAAGTAAATTAGCCGTGTCCTACAAGAGGGATGTGAAAGTTTTGCCTTTTTCTGGCAGGCCTGTGGTTAGGTTACAAATCTCCATTTAAGTCCAAAATTTAATTAGCGGACGTGACCTATTGATTTATGACTATGTGTGCTATTATTTTATTATAATTCGATAGAGATGGATTAGAATGGGAACAGTGGACCATCCTTTTTCATTTCATTTCTTAAGACCTCTAAAGAATTTGTTGATATTTTCGATTAAATCTTCTTGTTTCTTGAAAAAATTTAACGACTAATTTAAATACAGAAGCATCATACCTCTCTTTTATATTCCTCTGTCCTTCTTATAAATTAAGCTCCTAGCTTTACTCCTCTGTCGAAACCTCATCGACCTTCTGCTGTTGCATTGCAAACCAGCCCTTTGTCAACAAGAATTTTTTTGCCAATGTGCAACAAAACAAATTTACGAGGATGGAGGATAATATTATTAGCCCCTTGGCAGCCCCT